ATATATATATATATAGCGAGAGAGAGATCCACTTACTTCAAGAGTAATTCTGTTAGACTTACTTCACTCAATAAATCATATTCTACATTAAATTTTAACAATTCAATAGTTGAATAACAAGTTTTTAATACATAGATTAAATCTTAAAAATTTTAAAAAATTTGAAGACCATATAATATTTCGTTTTATAAATTCAAATAGATGGATAAGTGTAACTATTTGTATGATTATTCATCAATTTGAATTATTAAAATAGATTATCAAATATTTTTCAAATGTTTTAAAACTTTATAGACTTAATCTATTCTTCAAGAACTCTTAATTCAATGATTAGATTATTAAAATTCAATATAAATTCTTCATGAGAAGGGATCATATATATATGAGAAGGGATCGTCTCACTTGAAGAATAAGTCCACCTAAACTTCACTCAATAACTCATGTTCTTCATTAAATTTTAACAACTTAACCATTAAATTAAATATATGAGAAGGGATTCACTTACTTGAAGAGTAAGTCTACTTATATTAACTTTAATTAATAACTTATGTTCTATATCAAATTTTAATGATTCAATCATGAAATGAAAAGTTCTTAATACATAAATCAAGTATGTAAATTTTAAAACAATTGCAATTATATGATGTTCTATTTCATTAATTCAAATTGACAGACAATCATAAAAACATTTTATAAATTGATTTGAATTTATATAACAAAGTATCAAATATTTTTGAAGTTCTTTAAAAATTTACAAACCCGATCTATACATTAAGAATTTTTAATTCAACAGTTGAATATCACTAAAATTTGATGTAGAATATGAGTCATGGAGTAAAGTAAGTTTAGATAGACTTACTCATGAAGTAAGTGGATCATTCCTCATATATATATAAGTCTCGGTAGACTTATTTTTCTCAATAAATTATAATTTACATTAAATTTTAATGATCTAACTATTAAATTAAAAGTTTTTATTGTATATATCAAATCTACAAGTTGTCACAAAATTTGAAAACTAAATAATACTTCCTTATATCAAATCAAATTGACATATAATATGCTTTTTAGGATATACGTTGATTTGAATGCATATAATGAAATATCAAATGATTTTCAAATTTTACAAAAATTTGTACACTTATTCATACAATAAAAACTTTTAATTTAATGGTAGGATCATTGAAATTCATCATGAATTATGAGATATTAAGTAGAGTAACTCTAGCTAGAATAAGTTTGAGTAGAGTCATAATAACTCACTCTTTACACTAAATTTTAACGATTCAATTTTTAAATTAAAATTTATTAATGAGTAAATTAAGTCTATCAAGTTTTAAAAAATTTGATAACTATTTGATATTTCATTGCATTATCTCAAATTAACTATTATTAACAAAATCATATTATATATTAATATATATTTATGTAACAAAGTATCAAATTTTATTATTAACCTTAAAATTTTTCAAAGATTTATAAACATAATCGATTTAATTATTTAGGAATTTTAATTTAAAAATTAGATTATTAAAATTTAATATTGAACATAAGTTATTGGTTGGTGTAACTCTACTAAGAGTTACTCTTAGAGTAAGTAAAACCTTCCTCTATATGTTTGTCTATGTATGTGTATCATATAGGTCATTCATCGCTATAACTAATATTAACAATTATACTACTTAATAACTTTCAATTGAGTAAATATTTTTCAAAACTCACTGTTAGATTTAAAGTTTCTTTTTCCTAGATTGTATATAAAATTTATATTAATTCAAAATTGTTTGATACCTCGTTCATATAGATTAAAATTGACATAATATATACATATGAAAATATACTAAAATTTGAACAATTTGATCATCTTTTTATTATTGTTCAATTTTAACAAAATTTGACATTTACATTCAAGGTAATATGATATTATAATTTAATAGATGGATTGATGAAATTTACTACCAATATGAAAATATTGAATAGTGTAATAGTTGTAAAAGTTACATTGGTGTGAGAAGAATTGGTCATGTTGAGGAGAAAAGATTATAAGTTTGGTGTGCGTGTACATTACACCTACAAAACAAGTAGAAACTCTAAGTTTGGTGAGCTTGTCTTACACCTACAAATAGTTTGTTGTGATAACTTGGGAATTCATCAAGTGTCAAACATTAAGTGATGGGCTTAATAATATATGGGAATTGGTTTCAGAATAGGTTTTGGAAAAAATCCTTTAAACTTTTCTTCTTCACCATGTCCTTGTAGGTTTGAATTTGCTAGGTCTTCATTTACAAGGTTCCCATCTATATTCGGTTCATTTCCTGCATAAGCAATGTACAAGAACACATGTTAAATACTACTTAATATTTTCATGATAGTAAAATTTGAGTGTAGTTTAATCATGTAGATAGATAGAAACAAAATATCAATGTCAAAAAAGGGACGATAATAATATCAGAAAAACTAATTAATTAACTAGCGAGTAACTAAATCTAGCGTGTGAAGCAATTGCCTCTTGCCTCAAAACTTGGGTTACCGAGCTATATACAACTTAAATAGTTTTTCATTTCTCACATGCAAGAGAGATTGTCTTATTATATGCTTGTCAAGCATAAATATCTAATCTTCCCAACCAGATCTGTTTATAGGTATAACATTTACTTGTATGTGTAAATGTTTTATACATATTAAATAATATATATATATAAAACCCTTATTAAATATTTTCTGTCCTGGTATGAGCCCATACAAAAATGGATTGAAGACTTAGCATCTCGTGCCCAAGGTTGTGCCACGCCATCATAAGTACTAGTTGTCGCACACAAATTTTGCAATTAACACTATGTCATGCTCACGCCACCCCTGTAGCACTTCTTGCCTAAGGTCATACCATGCTGACATACATGTTAGTTGCCTCACACGTCCCACACTATGACATGCTCACCCACCCCTGTATTTTCTCATGTCTAGAGTCGTGTCACGCTGACATATGTGTAAGGATATCCACAATCACATTTCATTCACAATTATCACAAATCTTGCAATTAACACTATGTCATGCTCATGTCATCCCTGTAGTATCTCTTGCCCAAGGTCATGCCACGCTGACATGTGTGTTAATTGCCTCACACATCTCACATTATGCCATGCTCACGCCACCCCTATAGCTTCTCATGCCCAAGGTCGTGCCACGCTGACATACGTGTGAGGATGTCCATAATCATATCACATTCACATTCAACACAACATCTCATTTAACATACTCACATCATAATTAATTGAACAATTAAGCCACAACATACCATTCGCCACATCATGCTATCAATTCAATACTAAAATGGTAGATAAAATATGTATACATTTGTGTCAAGACATCACACTACAGTCCATAACTCAATTCCACATCACATACACAATATAGATAAGTCCACATAAAACAATGGTTCACATACCCCTCACGCAATTCACCATGAATTCACATCACATCATTATACATATATGAACTAACTCTACAACCTAGTATCATACTACTTTAAACAACTATTCAATTCACATGATATATAACACCTTAGAACATCAAAACAACATATGTCTGCCTTTGACAACTGTCAAAGAAAACAACACGCACAGAGTTATACTCATCCAAATGAGATAAAACCTATCTCAAAAGAAATATAAGAGGATAATCTACAACTCCTATGAAGACATAAATTCTAAAAAAATCATCTACTTAGCTAAAAACTTAAAAAAACCGCAACAAAATGAGTAAATAATTTAAAAATTGAAAGAATAAAATATCATAAATATTATTTAAATAAATTATTAAAAATATAAAATATAAAAAACTGTACCGGTACCCTCTCAAATAAGATGGGTACCATATAATTTCTCATAAGTAAAAAGGTATTTCAAGCACTACGTATTTTCCTCATATCCTTTGTGCTCATGGGTATTAATTAGTCATTATCTTGTAATTTTGTT